TGTGTAACAGTCACCATTTTGTAGAAGTGGTGTCGATGAAATGGCCTGTCGATGAAGTGATTGTCGATGAAATGAACCAGACCCATAAAAACAATCCTCTTAAACTCTTAATTTAGAGAACAAACAAAATCAAAAACATAATAATAACAGCACAGGTAATTTTAACTTTTAAATAAGGGAAACAAATATATTTATAGGAAAACAATAACTAAATAATAAATTTTTATAGGAAAACAATAACTCTCCTGACCAAACAATGGGGACCATATTTCCCAGATTGCGGCTACTCCCTATATTTTGAAGGTTAAGAATCCAAATATGTAAAAAAAAATGTATGTTTATTCAGAGAAAGTACGTTTTTGTGTCTGATTTCGCAACTTAATTAATAGTTAGCACTAATTAATTAGCATGTTTGAGGTCACCCCCAGGAACCATTAAGATTGACACTTAGTTCGTGAAAATCAAATCATTAGAACGAAAGTTATTCAGGGTGATTCGCTTTTTTTTTTTGCGGACTGTACATTTGTAATAGTAAGTAGTTAAGAAATGAAGAAAGAGTCTTTTTAAGATGAATTGTTATACATTAATATTTTAATCATACATTTAATCACATTATTTTAATCATTAATATTTTAATCATAATACACTAATAATTTAATACATTTAATATATTGAGCCAGAACTTGAAATCAGAGCATCAAGCGTGAAACGAATTTTAATTACAGTTCCGATTCAACAGTTAAACTATTTATAAAACACAAAGATATGCAAGAGTTTTTGGAATTCATTACAAAAGAAATAGAATTTTCTCTTTAGTAAGTAAATTTAACTTTTAAGTTTTAGCTTTTCAAAAAGCAATGATTAATGTTTCTCGTTAAGGTGAAAAACTCATAAATTTAAGCAACACAACATGGCATACGATTGGCGAATATAACTTCAAACTTGGTGAGGATAGCTGAGTTTTTTCCCTTTTTTTAAAAGAAAAACGACAGTCATTGAATTTTTGTTCTTTGCCTGAGGAGATGCCGGAAGTGTTGCTCATTTATCGTTACCCGGTGGGCACCTGTGAACTAAAGTCATGGAGTCGAGCAACATTACCCACAGATACCCGTTCTTAGGGTGGGCCACATTCACATATCAGTGGACAACACACGGACGAACATCAATGCCCTAATCGGAATTCGAACCCATTGTCATTGACTTTGCAGTCAGGCACGCTAACCACCATACTTGCTTAGTGTAACCATATATCCGCGGTAGGAAAAGTGAAACAAATTTTCATTTATTACATGCATCATAGTTTATTACCTGCACTCAATTTGGCCGGTTGTAGGAGTCCAACATATTCCATGCTTACAAGGATTCGGAAAACAGTCATCTTAAAAGAAAATAAAACCTCTATCAGAAATAACATACTATAATTTCTCTCTATATTTAAAAATGACAAGCGCCGCTGTTTTGTGTGTTCAATTTAACGTCGAATTTATTTTTTTCTACGAAAAAACTATAAGACTTAGAAACTTGCTCAGACATAGAAGCTTGGAAAAGCGTGAAGAATGATGTACAAAGATTGCACAAAGAGTAAGGTTAAATTAAAAAAAGAATTGCGTCCGAGAATTAGCAAGACAACTGTCAAATTTGTAAGAAAAAATACCAAGCAGACTGTTCTACAGGCAGCAGGAATACAATTACAGAGTTGAAATTTTACAAGCTCAAATGATCATTTTTTTCATGAACTTAACTACTAAGATATAAAGAAAGGTAAAATATGTGCTTAAAATCAAAAAAGAGAAGGTACTGATTTCTTCAGGGGAATCGGCCTATATTATTGGCTCCTATAGTACTTAATTAATTTTGGTAATTAGTACTATTGGTATAATGGAAATCATTAGATTTTACTCAATGATATTATATAATTTCGAAGTTTCTAATTTGTGATAGATAGTAATGAAATTTCATCTGAAATGACATTTCATTGCATGAATTTTTATGGTTCGTGTTTGTAGCTATCAATTATTCTGCTTCCATCAATTTGTATAATAAGTGAAAGGAAATAATATTATCAAGACTTCTACATTCATCTGGGTAATTAATAATTTTCATCAGAACAGTGGCTCAGGTTATATTTTTCACTTTTGAAGGAGGTGATTCAGATTCAAATCCCAGTGGTGGCTCGCTGATACGAATTCTGCTCCCTGTTCTCTTCGACCACAGTATTGAGGAAAGATGTCCTCAGCGGAAAGCGGATAGTGGGTTAGAATCTCTTTGCTGCCGGGCTAACAGTAGAAGGCTTTCCTCCGCATGAAACGCAAATGCGTGTTAGTAAAAGTCCTCCATGAAGGCTAGTTTGTCCTAATTTTTTGATCCAGGTGTTCCCTTTGTTTTCTGGGTTGGGTTTGAAAATACAGAAATGGGTAGTCTGTTCAACGCCAGTAATAAAATAAAATATAGGTATTATATTACTAATGTAGCAAATTTTTCTTTGTCCATCGAAAGGGATAAATACCGGAGGAAATTGCTTGATTGCGGTAAAATTTGGCCATCATGAGATAGCCTCGAGCAACAGCATCCTGCCGAATGCTACTGATTATAGTTAATATTTACTTCTAAAAAATGTATTGCTTCATTTAATTACGTTAAGCTATTGGCAAAAGCAATAAATAAAAAAATATGGAAATAATTATGTTTATTATTTGCATCGGTAAATCTCTTTAGCTTTGTGCATGATTTTGTAGCATTGATTAAAGTTGCGGAGCCGGTAGTTGAAATGTTCGAATCCAGCTCCGACTCTAAGCTTTCCCAAGAGCTCGAATCCGTTTCTGTCCGATACTCAATTAAAATATCCATTAAATCCCAGGAAAACATTAATTGTTACGATATCATTTTTTAACATTTTTTTGTGATGTGACTTATTACTATGAATTTAAATGATAATTTTGATTGCTGTTCTAATGGTAAAAACTCTCTACATTCAGTTGTTATCTAGCTTATCTACTCTGTTAGTGATAGACGTAAATAAGCAAATTGAAATAAGCTTTTCTCTCTAGTTACATGCATTACAAATACATCTGACTGCTTATCGAGTTTTATTGTCTGCACCAAATTTACGAAAATGAGAAAATATTGGGTGAAAAAAGTTGCAATATTTTTAAAGACTGGTCGAATTCTAAGATGAGAAAGTATGAAATAAAATAATTTTAATAAATATGAATGGTATTTTCAGAATGGCTATAATCAGGGCAAGAAGGAAAAAAAGTGGTGGCTGAATTATTTTATTAGAGCTTTTTTAAGAAGGTGGTGTTAATCATTCTTTGCCTTAATTTATTTACTACTACTTGATTTTAAATAATAATCATACAGTCATGCACCAAACTAATGCGGATTAGTAAGGTTAGAACTAGAGGGAAATCAAAAGCAATTATTTTACAATAAACGCAGCCATATTGATACGAGCACTTTATAATATGTTGCCTGATTAATAAACGACCCTTTAAATGGCCTTTACATATGCTTCATCCACTAAGATCATCATAAGAAGACACCTTTAACTTTCAGTTTTCACACTTAAAATCTATAAAATTCTAAAACTTTTAGAACATACCTTCTGATATTAGAGTTGTAAGTGAAATAGATGTTAATTCCGTTTCTGTAGCGTTTTCAGTTACATTATCCGATATGTTGAGTGAAGTAGCAGAGAGAGGAAGATATATCACAAAAAGTAAGGAAAGGTACATTGGTGATTTCAATGTTAACAGTCAATGTGAAAATATTTATGATGTTAAATTATATTACTTCTTAATAATACATTGATAAATCAATTAAAGAGGCACCTGTCTGTTTAGAAGTTAACATTCGTTGAATGATATGATTGTAGTTTTCAAAAGATTACTTTTCGAAACTATTGTTTCTCTGATAAGATATCAACTGAGTCTTTGATTACTTCTCATTGTTAAAATAACTGAATAAATTAAAATTAAATTAAAAATACAATGAAAACAAGTAAAAATATTTGTTTTTAAATTGAAAAAAGTTATTGAAATATTTTTAAAAAGAATACTTAAAAAATTAAAAAGCTGGAAAATAAAATAAGGAAAATATATAAGGGGCCGCTCAAAAAGTACGTACACAAAAATGGAGAAATTTTAACCCCCTCCCCCCTTCGTACATTACCGTACACAAGGTCTTACTCCCCCCCCTTTAGAGTACGTACATTTTATTAGTCTACCCCCTTTTTCATAAAAATTAAAATAATTATGTTTTAAATAAAATTAAATATTTATTTGAAATAATTTATTCATTTAAATTATTTAAACAATAACACCCAACTTTATCTTTGAATCAATAAGTAAAACAATCTAAGTCAAATTTAAATTTGGTGCATGCTTATAATGTACGTACTTTGTATAATACCTCCCCCTCCCCATCGCACAAAACCGCAACCCCCCCCCCGTTCGGGATGTACGTACTTTTTGAACGGCCCCTAATCGCGCCACCAGCGGACAAGATTATATCCGCAAACACGAGTGCTTTTGAATATTGTATTAATATTTATTAGCTGCGCATAAGCTGCAAGTATTCACCAGATCTCAAGAACTTTTTAAGAGAATTGAAAAAGTTTTGCACCTAATTATGAAATTCGTTAATAAAAAGATAATTCTATGAAAAAAAAATTGCCTTCTAAAATTGTATTCTTTATAATTATATAAAAATTTTTATACCATACAATTCGACATTTTTTCTCACTATTGTTAAATAATATATGAGTATTGAAAATAATAAATGCCTACTAAAAATTATATTTTGCATGAGATCATTTTTAGATAAACAAATTTCTTAATTGAGTTAAGAACATCTAAAAAATGATCATTTATGATCAAAAAGTGGTCAGTGGTCAAACAAATGCTGTTGAAAATTTTGATTTTTCTCATTTTCGAAGTCTAACATTACCCTGCCCCCAAATCTTAGTTTTATGATTAAAGCTAAAATAGGGGTGGTACAAAAAATTCTAAAAGTTGCTCATTTGTGGTCAAACGAATATACTATAAAATTTGAAATTTTGTTTATTTGGCGTGAAAAGCGAAGTTACCCCCCGAATTCAATTTTCAGTATGATGATGGCATTTAAAAGGTAATAGCATGTGCTGGATCGGAATTTATGCATGCCTTGGCGCGTCTTTCATAAACAGTCATCATTTAGATTTTTGTAAAACACAGCGCGCGCTTACTCGCCAAAATTGGCACACCGTAAATTTGAAGTTTTGATGTTCCAACTAAAAAAACTTGTCCTGAGAGATATGGAAGTTTTTTTAGGTTGTTATTTAAGAATAATTTTAATTCCTTCATGATTAGTAAAAAATTAGATTCCATTATAGACTTTTTAAAAAAAATTCTTCGACCTCAACTTCCATTGACCATTCCTTGACATTCAAAACTTACGCCCCCAATTAACATTAATTGATACGTGTTGTAAGATTACAATAATGATGAACAATTATTATTAAATTATCAAAAACCTTTTAAAGTTATAACATGATCTAATTTACATTAAAAAAAGAATAAATTTTCTTAACACACACTACCCTACAATAAAGGAAGAAACACTTTCAGTTTTTGACATTTTTTAGAATTCCTCAAGCAATACTTAAAATATTATTTTATAACTTTAGAGTTGTTTAAATCATGCGAATTTTCCTACTTAACAATAAAGTTTAGAGATTTCAACCGACCAAACTAAAGATGAGTAAAAAAGAAATTAAAAAAAACCAAGGATTGGGGTAAGTTACGATGCTTCAAAACGTCCTTACGCTACAAGCTTCAGTTAGCAAATGAGGTATCTCTATACAAACGCGATTACAGTGCCACTGACTTACGACGCTACACCACTGCGTGGCTCAGATTTCCTCGAAAAGCCTAGCTATCTTCTGTTTCGTGAATAGACGTTACCTTATTCTGTTCTTACTTGTTTCGGGACTAGTGTTCATGTCTATAAATTGTTTCCCCAGAGTGGGAGCAATATTTATCGAAACCTCAAGATACCTACAATAGTTGATAGGCCAACCTCGAATGTTTCAGTTACCCCCCATCTTGTGGAACAGTCTAGACTATGACGATCGGCTGAACTAATGATGGATATAAAAAGAAATTAAAAAAACCTAGGATTGGGGTAAATTACGATGTTTCAAAACGTCCTTATGCTACAAGCTTCAGTTAGCAAATGAGGTATCTCTACACAAGCGTCTATCTCTACAGTGGTCTGTGACATCGTAGTGCCACTACCTTACGGTGTCACTGGCCACTGCGAGACTGAGGTTTCCTCGAAGAGCTTAGCTATTATCTGGATACCTTATTTTCGAATAGATATTACTTATCTTGTTCGTCCATTCTTCTCTTTAATTGTTACTTAAATCAATACCTGACGGGGCACGGAGTGTTCGGGACCTACCAAAGGAAGTTTTTCAATAAGGATGATAAATGTAACAATTTCGATCAATCCCAAACAGTAGAACATCTTCTATATCACTGTTCTCGGTTCCGGGCACTCCGACAACAACACTTCCTCGAGAAGAACGAGCATCAAATTTTTGCCAGTATCATTTGCCGTAATATCATTAAACAAATTATTAAAACTACACTCGAGGAGGTGTTGGTCCAAAATAATAATAACAACTTTTAATGTCTTTTAATCTTGTTATTGATTGTCGCCTTGCCAAACTCCCTTTTATCTGGACCACTTGCCCATTTTTAACAACTTTACCATTTTACCCTTTTTCCATTTTACTACTTTACCATCTTATTATAACTGTCTTGTTTTTAGTCTGCTTTGTCATGTTTACAGGTTTTGTTTGTTTTAAACTGTATTTTTACTTTTTTTACTCCTGTTTTATTGTAATGTCTTTTTAGTCATGTACCTCAGATTTTATACTGTTCTTCGGCACCCCTGGGCGTTTTGCCTTCGGAGCGTGTTTACTTTTATCCTGTTGCAGATTTTAAATGCTTTACCATTTTTTAAAATTGGTTTTACATATTATGTTAGCTGGTCTGACTAATGGTTTTACCCTTGCCCTTTTGGCTAATGATATGTTGAATGATTTTAATTCCAAATTTTAAACATTGGTGGTGGTTTTTTTTACATTGTACTACTGTAAGTTTTTTTGTTGTACTTTTGTCTCCAGCTCGTCAACTTTTTCAATGTTTAATCACTCTGGTGTCACCTTTGCTTGATAGTTGTCGCATTTGTAGAACCCTGTCGAGCAATGTCTCTTTGTTACTTTTACCCCAACTATACTGGTGCTCAGGGTATGTATTATTTTATACCTTCCTCTAACTGTCACTATCCTTGCCAAAGGCAAAATACTATGTAAAATAGGACAATTTTTTAAGGCTATAAGGGTCTGTTGACCTGCCATATAAGGGTCTGTTGACCTGATATTTTTAAACATTTTATTACTATGTTAATTTATGTAAATGGCCTGTTGCCATCCCGATTCTTCTAGGTATATTTTTTGTATTTTATATATAAGGGTATGTTGACCTTTTTTAATGTATTCCATTGTATTTGGCGTATGGGCCTATTGGCCTAGGCCGATGTAAAACTTTCAAATTACTTCTCTTTAATTGTTTAGTTATTGGTTATTCCAATTACAAAAATTTTCAGGCTTGTGTGCTCAAAATAGGCTTATAAACCTTCGTCAAGTAGAAAGGACTGATAGCACAATAGGAGAGACAGCACTAAGTAGTACCGCCTTGTCATGGTCTAATTGTTTGGTTTCGGTTTCTAAAATTTTCTAACTTTTGGTGGCTACATCTGGTTTAGTTTTGGTTTCGGTTTCCAAAATTTCTAACTTCGGGGGACAACAGCAGATTTAGTTTCGGTCTTAAAAAGCAGCATATCGATTATTTCTATCCGCTTGCTTATTTCTGCCCGATTGAATATCTTATTTTAGTTTTAGTATTATTTCTCAGCGATGGCAACACTCATTAAGTTAGATTTGTTATTAAAGGAGGGCAACACTCAATCTGTTTATAAGATAAGTAGGCGGCGCAGTTTGGATTTTGGTTTCTAAACAAATTAATTCCATACTAGTGGCTACATCTTGTGATTAAAATAATTACCAGGTAGCATGAAAAGTAAATTTGTTGTAGATGCATTGTCTGACTTTTACGTTTTTTACGTTTACCCAGATTTAATTTCACCACAAATTGTAGGCCATATACAAGCCCTTTTATTACGAATCGCTTAAATCAAAGGACAAGATGGGGGAACGATAAGTCAGTATTACGATAGAGCACAATATATCGGAGCGTATGTAGACGGACAACCCGTACCACACAATCTTTTGTAACTTGATTTGTCTCAAAATCAATATATACGTGCCTATCAAACTCTATTTGTTGGAACAGATCACATGGGTCAAGACAAAGGAATATTTATTTCCAGTGAAGAATATAAAAATTTCAACACGTTTTTCGGATTTAATCTCTCCCCGGATTTATGTTCAGGAGAACATTTAAATTTCATAAAGCACAGAAATTTGCGATTAGAACTAAAATTCAGTCAAACATTAGAACACACAGTATGTGTTATCATTTTCGCTGAGTTTGAAAACTTAATTGAAGTAAACAAATCTAGAAATATTTTGTGCGATTTCAGAAACTAAGGAATGAATGGATTACAGCTATTTCATATTTTATCTAAAGAAAAGATAACGTCTCCTTATTTTTGAAGGGTCTATTCTATAGACACACCCCAGCCGATTTTTCAAGAAAATTCATGTGCAATAATGAACTCTGATGAATCCTCACAGCACGAAACTCACTGGCTTGGTATATCTATCACTGAGAAGAACCAGTTAGAATTATAT